TATATATATATATGTATGTATGTATATATATATATGTGTGTGTGTGTGTGTGTGTGTGTGTGTGTGTGTGTGTGTTTGTGTGTGTGTGTGGTGTGTCTGTGTGTGTGTATACATACACACACCCACACACCCACACATCCTTTTGACTTAGACTTGCTGACTTGCCACACACTAACACCTAGATAATACAGATCTTTTGATTCCTGTGTTGATACATACCCCAAGCAGGTATTGGAAAGGCAGGTGTAAACATAATGGTGGGTATAGAAAATCTGTTCCTCGGATGTATGTATATCATATGAATATCTCAGTCATTCTTCCCTAAGCATGTTACTCTGTCACTATTATAAAATCTACTAATTCTCCAAAATCACCTTTGACTCTTTAGAAAGTAGTTTCCATCATGACCCATGGTGTTACAACACGACATCGACATGATCTCCACATTTACAAATGTAGGGTTATTGCCATGGTCCAGGCTCAGCTCAAGCTGAGGTACTGAGTTAGTTAAGGTACTGAGTGGGCACAGGGAACCTTTTAACCACCAAGTAGATTGCATTCTAGTGGTCCCAAACAGCTCAAGCCATCTTTATTTATTCTTGCCTAGAGTCTTTCTTACCAGGGTTCCATGCACAGCTCTATCATTGGTTTCTATTTTTGACTTTACGAAATATATCACAACTTAAGGAATACATCGTCATCATTATGGAAGCTCCAATTTCTCCCCTTTGTTCTTTTCCAAATAGACCTCCCCATGCCCTGAATAAACTTATTCTAGATATAGAAATCAGCATTTTGTAGGCTGAACTAAATATCGAGACTGACAAATCCTAGTCTACAGCCAATATGTGATGAACCACTTTCCCACATTGGTATCTCAATGAATTTCATTACATTTGACTGCATTCTCATATAATATATCAGCACAACATGACCTGTGTTGATATGATATGATATGATATGATATGATATGATATGATATGATATGATATGATATGATATGATATGATATAAATGTATGTATATATGTATGTATATGATTATTATACATCTGACATCATTGACTGATTTTCTCACAATGTCAAGGAAATTGGGGCCATGCACTACTTATTAATATTCAGTAATTTGCTTCTTGTATCTGAATGAATGTAGCTTACCTGATACAAAATGTGATGGACACTTCGTCATAATTATTGTGTTGTAGAATATGACGTACATGAATTCTTAGTGGCCCATTTTTCTCTATTAATTTTAAATCATCAGCTGCTAAGTAGAGGGTTTGATATTTTTCTAAAAGCTGAAAAAGAATATGCACTCTGAAAACTCAGTTAAACATTGTACTTCCAGTTTCAATGTCCATTAAAATATGTAGTAGATATTCCTTTGTGATATACTTATCAGAGATAAGTGTGAAAGCCATGTCATATCCTATTTGTAAATACTACAACCCTGAAATATGAAACAACTTTGAGCTTCCATGCATAAACTATATTATGAAAAAATTGAAGAAATTTGTGTTGCAAATAGTGTGCACATCTATACTGCTTTCCAAACTTAGACTGAACAGACATGCTTTGTATCTTTTAAGTACTGAAGCAACAACAACAACAAAAGATTTCCTAGCTGGGGGATGGTGGCTCATGCCTTTAATCTCAGCACTCGAGATTCAGAGTCAGGTGGATCACTGTGAGTTTGAGGCCAGCCTGTGCTACACAGCAAGATCCAGGTCAGGCACCAAAACTACACAGAGAAACCTGGTCTTGAAAAACCAAAAAGAAAAAAAAAGATTTCTAATACTACCCTTGACTTTCTAATCACAGGTAAAGATGCTGTGAATGGGACACCAAAACAATGAAGAAAGTTCAAGTATTGACAAATGGTATCTCCCCCAAAAATTCAATTAAAGAAAATCCCTAGTAGGATGGAGAGTCAGAAAAACCAGAGAGAGAAACTATTTTTCAGGAACACTCCTCCAACAGACTAGTTTCTGTAATTTACAAAGAACTAAAAGATTAAGAATTAAAAACATAAAATCTAATTAATATGGCCTCATAAAGGGGATAGGAGGGAGGAAATTATGAGGTCAATGTATTCATATCTCATGACAAAAAAGTATTAAATGCCAATAATGAAGGAAAATTGTGTGGGATTGTTAAATTGAACAGACATTCCTCCAAAGAAGAGAACTTTATATCCATAACCATAAGAGAAAGGTTGATTAAAATTTTAATATTCCATCTTTTTCATATGGAGGATGGGGTCAGAGATAAGACTGGTGAAAAATGTTAGGAGGGCCGAGTCCAAAGGGAACATATGTCCACGGCTACCAGGCATGTAATCTGGAAAAGTTGGTTTTGAATGGGCTTGTGGAAGTTGCTCAAAGTAGATGTTAACCTAGAAGAAAACCCTCATCTACCACTCCTAGGAATTGACCAAAGGACTTTGGTCATGATACTAGATATATAATATATCCGTTATTTAGTATTCATTTCAAAAGGGCTAAAACTCACATCACCCTAGATGCTCATTGAAAAGGGAATACTTAAGAAAACCACAATATAGATTCCAAATAGACCTGGATGATGAATGAAATCATAAACATCATAGGTAAATGAGTGAAACGTGAAAAGTAATATGGCACGAAGTGACAGGGTCAGAAAAACAATATCACACTTCCATTATCATATTGACACAGTACTAGTAAATGAACTCAAAAGTAAACAATCTAATTGTTTATTACCAGTATTTCCCCACAAATAAATTTTATTTACGGTAAGTTTTGAGACAAAAATGTCATTACTGCACAGGAACCTACACATTATACCTACCCTTATTAAAAAACATTTCGTTTATAACACATTTTTATGTTCTTAAATTTAAGATTGTTGTGAAGTAAACTCCAAAGAAAGTCTTGCTACAGACAGACTTCAGCAATATTAATTAAAATGGCTATTGAAGCTTATAAGTCATTTTTGGAGAGAAGGAGTAATTGAATTCATATTTATTTGAATAATTCTATATATGCCTTGTGCTCTATTTTTTAAAAATTATGAAATGCATGCTATCACAATGTCTTTCATGTATAATCATACATATACACAAACCATATATTTGTACTGAATTATTATAATCTCAAGCATTGTTAAAACTAGAAGATGTTAAATCCGTTTTCTCTGATGGATAGAATTACTGTGAATATAGCAACAGCAGCTTTAGACTGATTGATAAGGATTGCTGCACTGTCTACGACAATATTGCAAGTTGCTCTGCTTTAGGAAAAATAATTTAACCAATATTAAGTACCTCTTCTGTGCAAGCAAAGCTGATGACAGCGGTTAACAGAAGAATCTTCATTTTTCTATGTCTCGGTTTCCAGCTTCTTGAGAAATGATCCGTATTTCAGCTGTTACAGAGGATATCAACTAAAACACCTTCCATCTGTTTCCTTTTGTGGATCGAATGCAATATAAAGTGTGGTTCATTTTGGAAGCTTGTTTACTTGTCAGAGTGTCCTGTTTGGCAGTCAGTCCAGGACTTAGATTGACACTGTTACGTTTTGCCAAAGACAGTTTCATCCAGGGACGTTGAGCATGATGTGAGTTATTGTCAGATACACAAGGAAACACATTATATAACTTTGAAGGACAAGGATGGGACTGTACTCTTCGATCCTCTGCTGTATAAAGGAGAAGCAATTTCAAAGTTCACTTTTAAAATTGCTAATTTATGTTATTATTTGCATTACTAGAAACACAGGTTCTGAGCAATAACCTATGATTTTCACTCAGCTAAATGGACCTCACAGTGAACTGAATATTTTAATGGGGGAAATTCTACCATGATTTATATGACTGTCTAAAGATGCAAAATTTAATGAGTAGAGCTTGTTAAATTGTAAACAATGAAGATTACAATTTCCTTATGCACATTTTAAGGCTATCAAAGATGCATAGCAGAGAACTTCTGTGCATTGCTGCAGCACATATCACTGATTCCATCATCTGCTCTATGACCCTTCTGTGGTCACAAAATCATCATGGACTTTAACATGAAAGAATATAAATTTTACATTTATACAATGGAAATATACTGTAGTGGTCTTAGGGTTTCTATTGCTGTGAGGAGACACCACAACCTTGGCAACTCTTATGAAGAACACACTTACAAGGTTTGTAAATGTCTGCTGAAGGTGGTATCTAATTTTCCTCTTCTGGAGAAGGGAGTACAAATTTCACTTTGTAAAATAGTGTGCCTGGGAACTGGAGAGATGGCTCAGAGGTTAAGAGCACTGCTTGCTCTTCCAAAGGGCTTGAGTTCAATTCCCAGCAACCCCATGGTGGCTCTTTTAACCTATCAACTCTGTTATGTGATGATGATATTTTATGGACATTTGGCTTTCCACTACAGAACGGTTAACATACCAGAGTTTCCATTAATCATTTCCTTCAAGAGTCTTCTTGCAAGGCACAAATACAAATCTTTAATTTGATATCTGGTAAATGCAGTATTGTTTCTTTTTTAAAGATTCTTCAGATAATGATATTTTACTTTGTATAATTATATATGGAGACTAAGTCAATATTTTGGGTACACCAATAAATATCACAATTAATAACCTTATATCTGATAGACAGTTTATGTTCATTATCATAAGTATTGTTAATTTTCCAATAAATTTGATGTCAAAATGAAATCTTTACTTTTGTGAAGGTATTTCTTCATTTCTCCCCGAGGATGGTGACACAAAACTTTGGTTGTGAAAACTGATGTCTTATAAATGTGATGCTTGCCACTCACTTCTTAGACATTTCTGACTGAATTATGGTATGAAAATTTAGTTAAGGATTCTATGTACCTCAAATTGTGGTTCTGTACATAACTGAAGAGAGACTTCCTGCCAGGGAATGCTGATTCTTGAAAACGGGTGTTAAATATTTTCTTATGAAAAAGGCAGGCTAATAAACATGTTCACAACCACCTAAAGTTAGATATTACACTTACAGAATGCTGCACACATATTTCTGTATTTTCCATTGTCTTCAACAAAATGTATGCACATGATGACCGTGGTGCTTGAAATCGGATATAATACAAACAAAATGGCACCTGAGACTGAGAAGAAACATTTCATTTGGATTAGAGTAGCAGATTAGTATTCTGTTCTTTACTTTGATTGGATTATAAGTTTTTGTGTTTTCATAAAGTAGGAATTCCAATATCAAAGAACTGAATAAAAAATTTTTAAAATTCAATGTAGTTTCTGAATTAATTCCCAATGACAGTCATTAGTATCTGGCAATCAAGAAGACACTGTGAGAATTCAATAAAATTTAAGACATTCATTTTAACTTTTAAGTTCTTTAAAAATTTGTTAATAAAATTAATTGATTTTATGGTTTATAAAATAATAATTATATGTAATTGTGTGTCACAAAATTCTACTTAAATATACATTTTATTTGGTAAATGGAAATTGAAAAACACAAATGATAGTACATGATTTGACTAAATAAATAATTGTAAAACACAAGTTTTTGCATTTTTTATATTTCCCTAAAAAGTGTGATCCCCAGCATGTGTGACTTTTAATTTTTTACCTTTTTAAATTTTAACATTCTACATATGAGTTTTAAAAAATTATTTAGCAAAGTGTAATACTGAAATTCTATAACTGTCCAATAAAATATGTAGGGTCAATTTTTCTACTCTCATAAAATTTAAGTGACTTAACCCAAGCACAGTTTTTATAATTTTCATAAACTGCTTGCTACTATTTCAGACTGGCTTGAACCTCAAACACTGACTGTCTTACTGTATCATCAGGTTAAATATTTTATTTAGTTTTCTTCATGCAAAAAGTATCTTATCCTGTACTACAAAACTCTCAAGTTACCGAGATTGTCCATATAATCAACTGATAATAATTTCACTAAATGTCGTGCATTTTTTAGTGTTTCTGTTTCAAACTCTTGTAAAATGTCTTCTAGAAACTTCCTATCCACTTAAGATGAACAGGATGGGCAAACGTTCCCAGATGGTTCATTGGTTGTGATATCTGTGGAAATTTAGGATGAGGAGCCAAAATGATGTAGAAGGACCATTAGAATAGATTTACTATTTCACACACCTCTGGTTACACTTTTTCCTCTCTGAGCCCAGTTTTCTGGGAGAGTAGAGAACTTATTAGGGAACATCGTGAATGCTGTCACATAAGCGTCTTCACCCTGGCTTTGGCTCTGCAATGGTCTCGATGTTTCTGAAACAATGATGAAAATACCAACCTCTTCTGAATCAGTTTACTTTTTAAAACAGTTTGTTAAAGCTACCACATTGTTAAGTACTATGAGTATGAATTTAATGGCCCGCATATATATATTTAGTCACCTGAAAGCATAAGATACTCACCTGATGTGCTTACGATGGAAGTAAAAAATTTGTGAAGCAGAATTGTGTAGAGTTGGCATCCATCCTGTTGCCTAAACATGAAATAACAATAACTCCATTTTCACCCATCGACCTTGTGTGTGCAACCTTTGACTTAAAAACACAGGTAACTGGCAATACAATGTGTTTCGTCATGTCAGCTTGTGTGCAAAACCCCAGGTTTTGTGATAACCAGCTGGCATATTGGAAATTGACAACTTCCTACTGACTGCTGTGAGTATAAACATGACTTTTGTTTTGGTATCTTGCTTTGATGTGTTTATGTAATTTTTTATGAGATAAGACATATGTTAAACTGACATGAATATGTAGATGGGATGATGTTTGGCTGTAATTACACATCTCATCAGATGGATGAATAAGGATTAGGATCCAAGTAGATACTCCTCTACCTACTGATACTAAGTTCTCCTTGCAGAACATGAAACTGTGATGTTGAAGAATACCACCAAGATTACATCCAAGGCTTGTTCCCTGGTATCTGCAGAAATCCTTGGGTGCTGAGACATTAACAACAAAACTGTATGAAAATAATTATGAAAAGTTAAAGATGTGGTGAACCATTTTACCACACTGGTATCTCAATGAATTTCATTGCATTTTACTGCATTCTGCAGTAACATATCAGCTCAAGACCTCTGTTGATATGATATTAAGATATGATATATGTGTGATTATTAACTATCTTACATCATTGACTTATTTTCACACAATGTCAAGGAAATTGTGACCATGCACTACTAATTAATATTTAATATTTTGCTTCTTGTATCTGAATGAATTTAACTTGCCTCATATAAAATGTGATGCCAACTTCAGCGTAATTATTGTACGGTAGAATATAACGTATGTAAATTCTTAGTGGCCCATTTTCCTCTATTTGTTTTAAATCATCAGCTGCTATGTAGAGGGTACAAAATTTTTCTAAAGGCTGAAAGAGAATATGCACTCTGAACACTCAGTTAATATTGTATTTTCAATTTCAATGTCAGTTAAATTATTTTAGTAGATATCCTTATATGATATACTTATAAGTAACTTTTAAGTACTGGAACAAAAAAGAATTTCTTTGACTATTCTTGAACTTCTAATTACAGGTAAAGATGTTGTGAATGGAAGAAGAAAATAATTGAAGAAAGGTCAAGTATTGACTAATGGCATCTCTCCAAATTCAATTTACATTAAAGAAAATCCCCAATAGTATCGAGAGTCAGAGAAACTGGAGAAAGAAACCATTTTTCAGGGACACTCATTCAATAGACTAGTTTCTGTAATTTACAAAGAACTAAAAAATTAAGAATTAAAAACATAAAAATCTGATTAATATGGCCTCGAAATGGGGAATAGAAGGGGCGGGTTAAAGAGTTAGCTCAGTGGTATAGAGCACTTGCCTAGCAAGTGCCAGGCCCTGTGTTCAGTCCTCAGCTCTAGGTGGAAATACAAAAAACAAAGAAACAGCAAAAACAAAACAAAACTTGCTTTTAGGGACTGGAGAGATGATGGCTCAGTGATTAAGAGAACTGATTGCTCTTCCAGAGGTCCTGAGTTCAATTCCCAGCACCCACAAGGTGGCGCAGAGACATCTGTAATGGGATCATATTTCTTATTCGGGTTTATACATAAAATATTTGAATGAAAAATAAATTTTAAGAAAGAAAAATGCTTTAAAATGTGAAGAAAGCATTTTCTTTCACGGCTAGCTTTGACAATTATTAAGATTCTACACGGACAACTGCTGAAGAAAAGGCACCAAAGGTCTCACTTGATCTCTCAGGCTCAATACTCATCATCTGCCTGAGATGACAACCTGGTGAACCATAGAACACATGTTTAAGGGATCTATTAGCAGTTCTCTTGATTGAACTTGAGGTGGTCTCGTGTACATGAGTTAATTTAAATCTGAAATTCTAAATTTTGTGAAAACTCATACAAGACATGCACCCTAGAGGAGGGACCATTTTCACATTTCTAAATTGCTGTGTTTTCAAACTGACTTCTAAATACTGATATTCACATCCATAAGTTAGCGCTGATCTCCACCTAGGTATGAGAAACCTTTTCTTGTAATGAGTAAATGCAGAAGAAACTAACTGCAGAATATTCTTAAAAATAAGTTTCTCAGTCGGGCGGTGGTGGCACATGCCTTTAATCCCGGCACTCGGGAGGCAGAGCCAGGCAGATCTCTGTGAGTTCAAGGCCAGCCTGGGCTACCAAGTGGATTCCAGGAAAGGCGTAAAGCTACACAGAGAAACCCCGTCTCAAAACAACAACAACACCAACAAAAAGGCTTCTCTGCATGGTTACGACACACCCAAGAATAGAAATATGATAAAAAAAAGACATTAAAAAAGTTGCAATTGTCAGAGAAATGGGGAGTTATTTGAAATGCCATGATATAAAATGACTTCAGTGATGCACATATAAATGAGCAGAAGCCCATGTTACCTTCACCAGAATTTTCAAGATGAAGAGAGTTTTAATTACAGTATACAAATGGCAAAAAAAAATGAGAAGCACAATTCCTAGCTGAAGAGGTATTGGTCATTGATGTCTGCAGCTGAAGTGAGATTGTTTCTTTCTTGGACTGGTGTTGGACTTTTTCCTTCACTGTAGGATATTATTCCCCTGCTATACACACATAGGCAGTGCTAATTGGATTGATAGTCTTATGAAAACAGAAATATTAACAAAATGAGGGAAAAGATATGTATGGAGACGAGCAATGGTGAATTTGGAAGGAACAAGTAGAAGATAAATATCAAATTTTCAAATCAGGAACATATAATTAATTACATTAAGATTATTGGAAAAAAGGATTTATGCCATCTGAAACCCAAGTTACCTGCACTTGGAACACTTTTTCTCCAGTTGGCTTGTCATGTCAAAAACTGAAAAGACACTTCTTGCTTCATCTTCCTATGCTTTATTAAGTTATGCTTGGTTATCTCTTAAAAGCCTGTTCTGTTGTGGGTGCAGAATGGAGAAGTTGTGGAGAGGACCTGATAGGAGTAGAGGGGAGGGGAACTATAATCAGGATGCATTTTATGAGAAAATAATCTAAATTATATTAATGAAAAATTGTATATGTGCATATTTGATAAATGTTTAAAATATAAAATTAAAGAAAATAATAAAATGAACTTTTCTGATGTGATGTGTAGTTGCACACATTCACATTTATATTGATCATATGTTCTATGAAAATTTACAAAAGCAAATTAAGGATAATAACAAAACTCTAAATTCACAGACAAAATAATTATAACAATGAGAAAAATGAAGAGTTGAAAATAATACCTAACTATATCAATGTCTTAATTACAGCTAAAATAAATAGCATGAAAGAAACATTTATTTCGATGATAGACAGAGTTCTTTGAATTCAAATATGTCATCCCCATATTTTTTGGAAACAGCCCTGGTGAATTTTAAAAATGTTCATTTAAATTTTCATACACTTCATGAGACAGAAAGAAAGAATTAAGCATTTCGAGGAATGCATTATATATATAAGTCACAGTATGGAAAAATTTCTTGAATACTGTGTTTTATTGAATTATTTGTAAGATATCAGAAGTGGCATTCATATAATTTTCAGCATAGTTCCCACTTATATTTATCCAAATTTTGCATGGCATAATTTGTGCAGTGAATGCTTTCCTTTATCCCAGCTTAATACATATTTATTAAAATATTTAGTTCAGGAAGATAGAATTTGATGTAGAATCATTAGCCATATGCTTACAATTTATAATCCAACTAATGTAAATATATGGTATATTTATGATATATTATAATATATAATCAAATTATATATATATATCAAATTAATAATGAATACATAATCAAATTATAAATATTGGCACTTTGCATAAACATAACCCTGATCTGACATGTACTTTCAACTGAAAAATTAAATCAATCAATTATTCCAGAATTTATTTTTACATGTTAAAGAAGTTGAAGCACCATTTTAATGTAAAAATCCATCTATGGCATCTCTTCTGTCACCACCCAAAACCGTGTGGTCTTTCCACACATCCAAGTTCTAGCTAGCAATCATATTGAGAAAAGTTTCATCTATTGCCAAATACCCAGAAATATGAAGAGATAATTATTTACTTGTCAGAGCAAAGAAATATGAGTATACATCCAATGAAATATAAAGCACTTACAGTATTAGCAAGAGCAATAAGAAAGGACTCTGAAGTTAATGATCATTTTATAATTGAAGTCACCCAGCCAACACTCTTAGGTTGAAATGAGAAAAAAATTAAACTATTTAGCATTTGAATATGGGGGATTCTCTGAAAATTCCCAGTCAGCAAAGAAGAGTTACCACAGTACTAGCAAATTACACAAAATCAAAGGATCACATTATTATTACCAGCATTTCCCCACAAATAAATTTTATTTACTGTAAGTTTTGAGACAAAATGTCATTCCTGCACAGGAGCCTACATGTTATACCTAACCTTACTAAAACACACTTCTTTTATAAATGGTTTTTATGTTTTTAAATTTATGATTGTGTTTTCAGTAAATCCAACAGAAGGTCTTGCTACAGACATACTTCAGTAATATTACACTAATTAAAATGTCCATTCAAACTTATAAATCATTTTTGGAGAGGAGGAGAAATTGAATTCATATTTATTTGAATAATCCTATACATGCCTTGTGCTCTATTTTTAAAAAAATTATAAAACTCACACTATCACAATGTCTTTATTGTATAACCACACAAATACACAAACCATATATTTGTACTGAATTATTAATATCTCAAGCATTGTTAAAACTAGAAGACGTTAAATCTATTTTCTCTGATGGATTGAATTACTGTGAATATAACAACTGCAGCTTTAGACTGATTGATAAGGATTGCTGAACTGTCCATGACAATATTGTAAGCTGCTTTTCTTTAGTAAAAATATAATTTAAGCAATATTAAGTACCTCTTCTGTGCCAACAAAGCCGATGACAGCCGTTAACAGAAGAATCTTCATTTTTTCTATTTCTTGGTTTCTGGGGTCTTGAGAAATGATCAGTATTTCAGTTGTTACAGAGGATATCAACTAAAACACATTTCATCTGTTTACCTTTTGGATCCAATGTAATATAAAGTGTGGTTCATTTTGGAAGCTTGTTTATTTGTCAGAGTATCCTGTTTGGCAGTCATCCCAGGACTTACGTTGACACTGTTGACATTTTCATTCAAGGAATTCTTGCATGATGTGATTTATTGTCAAATACATGAAGAAATACATTATATAAGTTTGAAGGACAATGATGAGACTGTACTCTTGGATCCTGTGCTATATAAAGGAGAAGGAGTTTCAAACTTCCCCTTTTAAATTGCTAATTTATGCTGTTATTTACATCATTAGAAACTCACAGGTTCTAAGCAATAACCTATGATATTCACTCTGCTAAATGAACCTAACGATGAACTGAATATTGCAATGGGGAAAAAATTCTACCATGATTTATAAGATTGCCTAACGATGCAAATTTATTAAGTAGAGCTTGTTACTAAGTAAACATTGAAGATTACAATTTCCACATGCACATTTTAAGGCTATCAACGATGCATATCAGAGAACTTATGTGCATTGACAAAGTACACATCACTGATTCCATCATCTGCTCTATGACACTTCTGTGCTCACAAATTAATCATGGAGTTTAACATGAAAGAATATAAATTTTACATTTATATAATGGAAATATACTGTAGTGGTCTAAGGGTTTCTATTGCTTTGAGGAGATACCAGAACCATGGCAACTCTTATGAAGAACACACTTATAAGGTTAGTAAATGTCTGCTGAAAGTGGTATCTGATATTTCTCTTCAGGCCAAGGGAATATAAATTCCACTTTGTAAAATGGTATGTCTGATAGACCCGTGACACCTCCCTCTCAACAATCCCATTTACTAAGTTCCGTGTTCTTGCAACTTGACTAAAAGAAGAATCAGATCTTCTCCCAAGGGCTAAGAATTTGCAGAACCCAACTATAACATTATTTCTTGGTTACTCCTTAACTATAATTTTGCAGCTTTTCTGATTTGGAATAGACATATCTGATATGGAATATATTTTATATATGATCTTTCTCAAGGTCATGGTACATACTTTGAGGATGGGTATTCTAAAATAAAAGAAACATTGAATCTAATATTGCATTCCAGCATCATACCACCCTCCATAAGATAGACTGGGATCTTTACTTTTTCGTGTGAGGTATTCTGGGATATCCCTTTTCTTCTCTAGTATGCCTGACATGTTCTCTGAGTCATGATCCCTTCAGCCTTTACTTTATGGCTTTCTGATCATCTTTCTGATGTGGATCTTTGAGAGACTCCCTTTCCAAGAATATCCAACCTGGGTATCCCAGAGCCCAATGTTTGCAAACAGAGTCTAGAATGCAGGTGATCTACCTTCAAGCCAGTCACCAAACATTGAGTCAATCCACCAATTCATGCCGATATCTGAGCTCAAAACACAGTATAGATGAGGCAAACTTGCCAGTAATAGTCATTCCTGTTGTCACAAACAGCTTCTGAATGCTAGCTAGTCTTCCACAGATTCAAAACAACTTATGGAAATACTAACATTGCTTGAATATTTCAAGCTGATGAGCCATGATGGGATATCCCTCTACTGATGATCTCTTTTAAGACAGGGAAGTGTGAATCTTCCCACCATGGACCAAGGGGATTCTGATATTCAATTTGGTCAAGAGTTCCTCATAGTTTCTCTTTCATAGGAGGTGTCAAGTACTCCATAATTCCATGATTAGCCAGCTCCTTCTCCCTTTTAGATATGATGTCAAACCCATCACTTAGAACAAAGGCTGTCTCTGACTTTTGTCCTTTTCCCCAAGGATTTTGATATTTGTATCTTGTCTTAAATGGCACTCCCATTTGTCTATTCTTACAATTGGGTCAAAATCATTTTCTTTCTCAGTATCAGGGACTGAGATGAAGGGAGCCTTATACTCCCTTTCTCTGTAGAAAAAAAATATTGGGTGCTTCCAGAATGCACAGGGGCTAGGGAACCTATAATGTCATTTTTGAAATAAGAGGGCTATAGATATTCTATATTTTCTTTGGCAATTTGGGCATAATTCTCTGATAATTGAAAACTCCAAAGTGTTCCTTATGGTCATGGAGGTGGTTCAGATACTTATCTCTTAGAAGACACTTCAATTCTACCCCTGTGATCTATTTAGCTGACCTTGCTTTGTATGGTGACTTACAATTGCCTATGAGAGCCTTCCCAGCTGACCAAGTCAGCCACTTCAACGTCTGCTCCAGATGTGACCACAGAACAACTTGTTCTATATAACAGGGAAGATGATATAGAGTTTAAAAAGAATTATATTGATCAGCCTAGAAGGAAGTAAACATACATGAAAATTTTCTGTTTCATCAGTACAGCCAAATAAAGACTTGTGGAAGCATCATGGCTCAGAAAAGCACCATTCTTCTGGGAGAAAATTCTGACTTCTTTCTGGACTCTCAAAGACTTCAATTCAAGGTATGCATATCTGTAACTAGGAGGCACATTGAGAACTTAATGAGGTAGAGCCCAAATATTCTCCCACTAAACAAGGTCACCTTGGGATTTCACCACCCACCAAGGGTGAAATTTGAAAAATGTGGGTAGACTATTTTCTCCTCTGTATAAAGAGTTTCAGAAATAATCCCTTGCCCAAGCTAGTCTCATAGCTTTTCACCCCGACAAAGGGGTTACAGAACTCCCTCTACAAAAGAGTCACTGTACACTATTTTTTAAAACACAATCTTCCATCTATATGTGAGTCAGAGGGATCCTCAGGCCTTTTCTTCTTCTACAATGTGATATTAGACATTACCTATCTCTACAAGGGAAAATTAAACTATCTTTGTCCAAGAGTAACTCACACATTTAATTTATGCACAAGGTGATGTTACTTGTCCTTCTCTGACTAATATGACCTTTTCTTATTTTCCCATTGGACCTTGTACTCCATGGAGAATCTCCATGTGTATGATTCTAACTAAAAAGCCTTAAACCCTCATACTCTGTGCTAGGGTAGATGTTGGGAAAACCCACTTATTAGGAACTGACCTCATGACTAGGCTGGTGTTACGTCTAAGAGCCTGGTACTCAGGTAAGATTCCTTAATTTTATAATTATTATTTATATAATATTTGATATATTTATAATATGTATTATATATAATAATATAATTTATATACTGTGACCACTAGTTTATATACAAATATAGTGAGAATCCACTCTTCATTCTACACCATGTAGCTGAAGTTAAGGTCAAAAAGTCTACCCAGAGAGCAACTTTTGACCTGAATCTTAGAAAAATGATGAGAAGTATCTAAGGCTTAGTGAGGAATCTGTAATATAAGACTTTTCCAGATTGTGATTAAGAGTTGGGATCAGAGTGAGGGAGGTGTTAGTGGAAACTAGCAGCTCCCTTAGGGGAGGTAGTGAGAAGAAATGACATCAATGACACAGACACTATGAGTTTGTTGAAGGCAAACAGCTAACTCGTTTATTGAATAACAGAAAATGGCTTTATATACTCCATGCCTAGCACCCAAGCTGTGTCACAATCTGGTGGCCTTGTGTAGTCATCCCTCATTGGCTGGGCATGATCAGGAACTCTGTCAGTGCCTGTTGCTAGGCCCTCAGCAGACTTCAGGTTGGTTCATAAGGAGTACAGCATGTGCCTGCCTTGGCAACTGGTCTGAGCCAATTTGCTTGACCCTATGGGCCTGTCCTACTACATATCCACCCTTTTATTTTATTACATGGGTGCTCAATGGTAGTCAGAGTCCTTTGCTCAGGCCCTGTTGACCCCGTCTCAGGGTTCCCAGTAACTAGACTGTGCCTGTCTTAGGTTGGCTTTCCAAGCATGGTCTTACCGTCTGTGACGACCAGTCCTTGAAGAGCGTCCATCCCTGGGGAGTCATCACGGGGTTGGGAGGGTCAGGCCCTTTGGATTTCAGAAAGCCAGGCATGTACAGGTCTGTGGAAGGCTGTGAGATAGATACCTAAGATCAATTGACCTGAGTAGAGTATGTAGAGTCACTTCAGTGGTGTCCGATGTTGCTGGATGTGTGGTGGGAGACACTTAAAAAGGGGAAACATTAAAAGTGCCACCCATCCATCAAAACACAAGTGAGAATCCAAGAGGGATCCAACAGCCTTTCTATATCATGCTGAATTAAAAAAATAGTCAAAGGTAATAACCTCTGCCCTTGTCTAATTTAATTGGAAAATTTTGTGAGTTAGGTATCGTGTATAATATGGAAGCTGAGCTGACCCTTAATATATTTAGGTAATAAAATAGCAGGTGGATATATTGTAGGACAGACCTACATGGTTGAGGAAATTTGCTCAGACCAGTAGCCAAGGAATGCAAGTACCTTACTCCTTGAGAGCCAAACTTGAGTCTGCCTGAGGACCTAGCAACAGTTGCTATCAGAGTTCCTAGTCAATGTCAGAGTTCGAGAATGCTCAGAGTCTGTCTGATGACCTAGCAACAGGAGCTTGCAGAGTTCCTAGTCCATGTCACAGCTCCTGATTGTGCAGAGTCAGCCTGAAGACCTAGCAAGAGTCACCATCAGAGATCCTAGTTGATGTCAGAATTCCTGATCCTGCAGAGTCTGCATGAGGGTCTAGCAACAGTCTATGTCTGTGGTCCTGATAGTGCCCAGCCAATGAGAGATGACCACACAAGCCTGCTAATCTAACACTCCTTGTCCAAATGGTGTCTTGTCCAATGATGAAAAGGTATGCTCCACAATTGTTAGAGGGTCAAGGAGAGCCTGAAAGGGGAACATACATATATATTACTGAAATGGAGATGGCATATAATATTGAAATGGACGCTCACTGTTGCATTGTTTTCTATAGCACCTATGGTGTCTTCAAAAGCCCAAAACATCCTCCAGGCAGAGTACTTCAAACTGACCAAACACAAGTTGACTGCTCCATCTAATAAACCCTCTAATAATGTAGGTTGTATCCATCAGCTTCCTGAAAATTGCAAACAATTCGGCATCTGCCAGCCATCATTTACACAACACTGTACCATGAACGATTTATTTAAATTGATGTGAACACAAATGACCAAAATACAAATGCAACCAAACTTTTGTAGTGAGGTCCTCAAAGAGGTTTCAAAAGAGTTCTTTGTCTGAGGACTTATAGGAGGGCTCATGTCAGAAACTGGATAAAGATGGTGGTTATTTCTCTTGAAGTTGGTTAATTTTCTCAACATTCTGTGGATCAAGAAAAATAGTACCCAAGATTGTAGTGTGATTCCATACATGCCTTTCAGAGGGTTCTTATGAAATTTCTTTATTACTTGATTTTCTGTGGTCTGAGTCATGATTGTAAGGTATAAATAGCCAAATGCCTTTGAGTTTTTGCACTCTTAACAAATGATATGTAATTTAAAATAGCAGTTAAGATTGATGGATTCAGAAGACTAATCATAATCACTGACATATCAAATTAAAAATTTTGTTTGAAATTGTTATTTGTTGAAACCCAAATGAGAATATTGAGTTCTTGAATATGGACTTATGAGCTACTCTAATTAAAGTTTTTTTTTTAAATGTGGATAAAAGTCTCATATGTAGACACTAGCTTTCAATATATTTATTTTGAATATTTAATCTGGAGTTAAAATAAGACTCATCTAGAAACTCCCCACTGTGGGTAAGTAGCTTATAGAATAGGGAACAGTAGACAAAGGATAACATTGACATTTGAAAATAAAATATAGGGGTAGAGTGTTGAATTAGCAATGTGAGAGGAAATATGAGATGTCCATTGATGAATTAAACAACATATTGAATGTATGAGGGATAGTTGAGAAAATCTACCATCATTACACCACAAAATTCATTCAGTTCATGGACATAGTTGTACACAACAGAGAAGAAAGTGGAGTAGATAAACATCTACTGAAATTTTACACAGAAGCGGCGGTGGGAAGGAAGGGAAGTAGATATTGACCCCAAACTAATCATAATTGAAGAAAGTTGATAGACACTCATGGGATTGCAGGATAATATCACATTTGAAGGTATAAAACATTCATTACTTAAGAGTAGAAAGGAAATCTATGGTCTTACTTAGCACTTGATCCTGAATGCTACTACAGTCGCCCCCTGACAAGATGCCCTCAGTTTTGAATTTTTGAATTTTATCATATAATTTTTACTATACAAAAATATAGTTTTCTAATTGGATTTGAGGCCAGTTCTGCAGGAATATATATTTGTCAGGTTGTGTAATCCTGAGCTAAAACTCATTACTTTGGAGATATTAGACCCTAGGTACAACCCATGACTCCTGTTTTGAATATTTTTACTCCAATCCATTTAATTGTCATGGTTACAAGATCTTTCATCATGTGTTTATGGAGCACACATCGTGTTTTGTTGGATCCAATCAGATGGCTTTATTCCATTAATGCTAGGCACTAAGCCTTCAAATTTTTTACATTTTGATTTAAACTCTTTATAAATCAGCAGTTTTAAGTTTGTCAGTTCATTTGATATGAACTTCACAGTCAACCCCCCCCCACTTTTCCATGTAAATATTGTAGTGTAGCCAATATTATGCATGACTGTGGCAGTCAGAAAATTTGTTTCAATTAAAATGTGACATAAGATCAATAAGACTGTCCAGGGTGTAAAGTGTTGGATTTTTGTTTGATTGTTTGTTTGTTTTCAAGACAGGGTTTCTCTGTGATGTTTTGGTGCCTGTCCTGGATCTCACTCTGTAGACCAGGCTGGCATCAAACTCACAGAGTTCCACCTATCTCTGCCTCTTGAGTGCTGGGATTAGAGGCGTGTGCCAGCACCACCCAGCAAAGCTTTGAATTCATGAGCTTGACAATCTGATTTTGATGCCTAGCACCCAGAAGAAGGTAGATAGGAGGAACTCAAACCTAGATTTTTTGCTTGTACTTCACACAAACACCTTGATATAGATGCACACAGACTGTAAAAACATAGCATTCACACACACTCTATACACACATTCATAGAGGAAATGAGTCCCACACTAGAGATTTATATTTAATACTAACTAAACAACTCAATATTTTCAAAAATTTTATGCCAGTAGATGAAATTTATTCATTGATTCACAAAGAAAGAAATTTCCACTAAACAGGGCAAGGGAAGAAACTTGAAGAAAGAACAGTGTGATGAATCTGAACACCACAAGAAAGGTGAATGCATAATTGGGAAAGAAAGATGGGTCCACCTTCAAATTTGTGAATTAGATGCCATGGACAGATATGTAGCAAGTCGTATCAATCTTGAAACCTGTGAAAGTACAAATTTCAAATTAGAAACATCAATGGAAATATATTAAATGTGAATGAATACAGTAAGTTTTATAGAACCTATAGAAATCCATGTTTGAGAGATGAGGTGAGGAATGATGGAATTCTTGAGCAAAAATTTGATCATAGGGACTAGATTAAAGATTTAATATTTTCACAATTCTGATGATTTCAGATGAGAAACCTTATTTTATCAAGTGCTTCAGTTTGCATTTAGTACAGAAAAATATATATGTAAGTTTCATAAATTCAAATCCCCTTTATATTGTGAGTTGTTAATTCTAGTCAGTGTAGCACATTAAACAGTTAAGCAGATGTGTTCATCATATATAGTGATTCATTGCTCATGATATGTCTTCAATTGGCCTTGAAGTGATTGCAGTCCCTCAGTCAATTTTATTTTATTTTTTTTACATCTCATACATAATAAATAAAAGAGACTGTAGAACTCTATGATTTTTAAAATGCATAGGGATATTTTCTTTTTTGATAGTGAAAATATATTTATTTACTTTTTTAATACAATAGCTGCCAGCAATCTACTGGTGTTGATGCTCCAGAGAGAAGAAAGAAAATGCAAGCATTCTGTAATGGGTTTTCATTCCTACCCAAGGAATTCTATAAACAAATACTCCAATCCTGTTTGGTCAGCATTATGGCTTGGGTGCTGAATTTTTATGGCTTGGGACTTAAATTTTTTCCGCACACTTTGATAATTGTAAAGATGAGCCTTTAGAAGTCTGCTGTGAGTTTCACTAATAAACGTGCTCTCTCTGACCAAATGTTGATTATTGCCACCCGAAGAAACTGGTGAGTCCATTACAACTTGATGGGATGTAGACCAAAATCTTCACTAAAAAATAATTTCTACTTCCCCTCATTTTTACTTTGTAGATATTTCCTAAATGAGTTTAAATATGAAGAAACAAACCCTATCTACATGCAACTCTGGCAAGATTCCAGAATAACTCAGCTGAAGTATAAATGCCTACATTCTAGAGCTGATCCACTTAGTGTACAAATCACTCAGAATCTCTTCATGGTATGCAAATTGCTCAAGAGTTTAGAGCTATGAAAGCTAATGCTACTGAGAAAATCTTATTTGCATTGCATTGAAAATCTGTATCTACAGAACAAAGGAAGTTATAGGAATTAGAATAGTGAGGCATGCCCACTGTTCAATAGTTTCTCAGTATCCACTGAAAACTAGGGAGACTCCACTCAGAATCCTGCCTCCAAGGGGAGGGCTGGTAAGGAAAGGAGGTGAAACACAGAGGGATGAGTCACTGGTGTGGACGTGAGCCTAGGGGACTCCTGTACTTGAGCCCACACACTGCATCAACTGCATGGAAACTTCCACATTCGCACGTCTCAGATCTCCAGGTTTTAAGCCACAAGCTCTGCCCAGGAGTGGTGGTGCTCGCTGTAGGCCTCCTTCTCACAGCTTCCGTCCATTGCCAATCTCAAACCTGTCTGACTTTCTTCACAGAAAACTAAACTCGATCTCTCTACAGAGAAAAACAATTCTGCCTTTGTCAAAACCAAGGCAGGCTTCCCTTCCTTGGACATCCAGAGACAGCAAGAGCAACCATGAGGCAAATCAGGAGCCACAGAGAATAACCACCAAGGGTGGGCATCTCCGCCAGTTTCAGCCTGTCCTCTGCACTGTCCTGCACAACCTCTGGTGTGAGAAGCCCTCACTCCATCCACTTGCGGAAAGAACAGGCATTCACTCTCTGGAATCTTCCTCATGAAAGCTGCAATCCTACCCAAGGACAAGCTGTCACTATGTAAAGTTGGGACATTTCTGCCCATGGAGACACTGCAGGGTCACTTCTCAGAGGAGGAAAGATAGTGCCTCCCCTGGAACCAGACACATCCCCACCCAGTGTTTGCACAGTGATAGGTGCTCACACCCTGATCCGAAATAAGGGAAAAGCTGTGGCCGAGCCATCTCCCTGAGCCACAGGGACGCACTGTAAAGCTCCCCTTGTCCCCATGTGAAGTCAATTACTGGTCAGGTTTAAAGGGGGCTGCTGATGAGTCAGGCCGCTTCCGCAGAGCCGGCGTTTATTTACTGTCTGCACACCAAAGGGAAAGCAGGCCGCCTGGAAGCAGCGTACTGTGGGGCAGCAAGCCTGTGGGAAACAGCACTTCTTGAACAAGTTACATTAAAAAAATCATCAAAACTGTAGTACAGTCACA